AGACAGACAGACAGACAGACAGACAGACAGACAGACAGACAGACAGACAGACAGAGAGACAGACAGAGGGACACCGCCCTTAATAATAATGCAATTATAAGACTGTTCCCCAGTCTTTACGACAACAAAAGATAATCGTTTATTATAATTATAGCCTTTGCTTGATATTGATTGTCAACGTTCTCTTTAGTCACCGACTATGGCCTTTGTACTGTGACTTTTTTGCCAAGCCAGTTGATCTTGTAACATGGCGCTCTATCATGGAGATGTTTTCTCAACAGTTGTTAGACTGAACTAAGGAAGCATATCAACGTAGAGAATGCTGCTGGGCGAAATAATGAGAATTTTCACTACCATTCCTTTGTAATGAGGTTTCAAGTCTGAAAATTCTTCTGAAAATTGATTTAACTCGAGACCCTTCGTCAAGATTACTGATCCTTGAAATCGGAAGTTATATATTATCTGGGTATGTATAGTTGTGTCTTGTGTAATGGCTTCGTTTTCATATGCATTTCTCAGCGTGCATTTCCAGTCGCAAAGTTTTCCGAGTTGATGGCAACAAGTACAAGATCTTTGTCGTTTCCCGCATAGGGTTCTTTTACGTCAATGCGTTGGAAAACGAAGGACGGGCGCTGACAGCCAGAAGAGCTATCATGATGTCTTCCGACTTGCCGACAACGCGGAGGAGGGCAATGATCATGACATTGCAAATTATGCATAAATACAGCCTTTAGTCCAACCACTGAATTGGCTTAATCATATCCTACAGAATGGGGCTCTTACAGGCCCCAGCACTGCTTTTTTAGGTTACAGAGTGTGGTTCAGCATTAGGTTTATGCTTAAGGTTATGATTAAAGTTATGGTTAAGTTAGAGTTAGTATTAGGGCTAAGGCTAGGGCTAAGGCTAAGGCCAGGGCTAGGGCTAGAGCTAGAATTAGAGTTAGGGTTAGGGTTAGTGTCAGGGTCATGGTAAGGGTTTAGGTTTTGGGTTGGAATAAGGGTTACGGTTTCAGTGTCATCTGAATCTTTTAACACTGTCGGTGTCCATTAGTATATTTTATCTGGTATTTATTCTAGTAGTATCCATTTCCCTCTGCCCCACCGTGGTAGTCAAAGATCAAAGAATGTTGAGACCAAAGCAGTAGCTCACGTCTAGTTGATTTGCACGAACAACGTTTTACACCACTGCTTGTCATAAAGAGTTCCTTATCTCACATCAAGCGATATTTTTCTTTTGGTGGTTAATTAAGAATGCTGTGTTCACCCCATCTTTATTTGGGTATATTACTGAAATGAAAACAAAAGTATTGAGACTTTTCCATTCTCTTACACTTACACTCGAGCGAGGAGGAGACGAAGGCTGAACATTGTCCAGGTTGCAAAAGGGGGTCATGTTGAACAGCAGCAACATTTTGACAGACACATTCGTTCATCAAGTCAATATAAAACAAAAGTCTTGTACAAACAAATACAGTTACGTGACAATTTAATGAGATTAAGTTAAAAGTCTTTTCATTGAATATGTATACTATTTATCATCGAATTTCTTGTCTGAACAGAGTTATATCGAATCAATAATGTGTACATTATTTTGAATCACCCCATGTAACATGAAACATGATTAAAATAATAGACAGTCGAAAAAGAAAAGAGAAACCTGTTAAAATAGTCTATGTTGGGTTTAGGACAATACATTCATGAGTTATAAATGGATTGGCACACAACGTTACCTAAATAATATGATGTGCATGCAAGAAAATATAAATTATCAACTGGAGCGTTAAAAATCGTTACGAGGGACAAAATGACACGTAGGTAGAAAATCATTGGCATTTTTGTAAAAAAGCAAGTTGCGTTATATTAGTGGTTCAAGTCCAGAAGAAAACTGATATTTACAATTGGCCCAAGTGCAAGACCGATGATCTGCACCATTTTACATTAACCTGTAACTCTTCAAACCTATTTTTGTCATTGTTGCTATTTCCTGCTTGGTCTCGACTTCCTTGTTCAAATGACTGCAGTGTTTTATTGAGATTGACACCCTAATAAAAGCCGGCATCGTATTCCGTACTTTTTTAGTTTATGTTTTGGTAAGGATTTCCTAACCATTTGAGTCCGAGTTTTTCCAGCTTAAGTATTTTGATAATCTTACTTAGTCTTGTTATTCAGAGAATACTTTTACTGCATTTCTGACAAACACAAACGGACCCAGTCATTTGAATTGCTGACTATGCCTCCGACGGGTACCTCAGAGACCTCAGAACGCACGAGTTGTTCACTGTCATTCATTAATGAATAGCGTAGTGGTGCCAAATTAGTATTCTTGTTAAATTTAAAACTTACTTGGTTTAAAGAACGCACTAACCAAAGGTACGGGAAAGCCAACACTTTTCAGCGGTTGTTTTCACAAATCGTCGCTCACAGAATTTTCTTTCTTGCTCTGTATGTATGTGTAAGTGTAAGCGTATATGTATGTGTGTGAGTGTGTTTGTGTGCGTAA